TGAGGTAAAATAGGACAGATGACAAATTTTAGAAAAATGGTAAAAACATATTTCTACAATATACGTGTTATTTGTTTTGATTTAGTTGTATTTGATTTAGACAGTATAATTAGGGAGAGTCAAATTGGACCTTTGTGCCCCGCGATACCCTATATAATTTAAATATATAGAACTATACTTAAAAAAATCCAATATCCAATAAAATATTCAAGAGTTAAAGCATGTTATTAAATTAAGATATAAAATCTTAATCTTTCATTTTTTCAAAAATGATCAATTACCATTGAGAAACTGTGCTCCGCTATATTATGTGATACGAAAGCGCGCTTTATGTATTCTTTGTGCTGTATACAAGAGAAGACGGTAGGTCATTCTATACGGCGATCGGTCAATCAGATGTCAGGCAGAACTCCAAGCTAATATCACAACGGATGCCCACAGAATGAATTTAAAATTCCAATCGAAATCCTTTCAGAAACATCCAAAAAGAACGGATATGAAATGTTCTCTCACATCACATATTATTATTCCCTTTATTCTTTTGTTAGATAAACTAGAGTCGATAGGTAAATGGTAGATATAAAATACTTAAGTTATTTATAAGTGAGTTCGATCGTAGGTAAGTAGCCAGAACGACTGAACCTGAATCAGGAGTCCCGGGTTCGAGTACGGTTTGAGCAGCCTGTGGTCAAGCAGTAGTGACAATGGTTTTTACTTGGAAATATAGATAGCAATATGTTTCCTCGCCCGGCATTGTTGCATCAATAAATATTCGACCTATTACAAAATTGTAATAATAATTTATTCAACACAAAGATGGGACAAAAGATTAGGTTGCCACTAGGGAATGCAAGACCGATGGAAAATTTCAATACCGGTATTTCGGTAATTTTTCATTTTAAAACCGGAATACCGGTAAATTACCGGTATTTTTATTATCTTAAACAAACGTAAACAAAGTTGAAAGTTTCTAGTACAAATATAAAAAATGTATATACAACTACAACTATATTCAACTAAACAATAAAATAAAACATAAGTTTATTTTTTTAAATAATAAGTATATCCAATTTAATTAATTCATTTTTACTATCGGGTATATTGAGTACTTTTCACTAAAAACAAACTTATGAGTAAGAAAGACTGAAAACTCATAAAAGATCATATTACATTATTATAATAAACTGTATTGTCTGTATCCGATGTGTTGAATTAGCATAATCTCCAATATTTTAAAAAAATAATTTTTTTACACTAATTGAAGATCGGATACTTTGTCGAGATAAATAATAAGTTACTATAATTGTTGAGTATTGTTATTTAAAACAATGTGATGCTTCTATAGTATTTTCAAACGTTTTAAAAAAATAATATTTTATAATTGTAATAAGAAGTAAAGATATTTAGTGATTATCATAATTATTATGTATAAATTTAGAAAAAAATAAAGATTACGCAGGGCTAATCTGTATGATATAAAATATTTTGGCGTAAATATCACTTAAAAAAACATTACATTTCTCCAAAAGATGAAACAAACATCATTATCTATCAGTCCAATTCTATTTATTGTAACACGATATGAAGCCCTTTGGAAAGCAATAAATATTCAGTTTAATGACGAGTTCAGATAATATTTGACATTTGTTTATCTTATAGAATCACTTGAAGATATAGCTGTTTATGCGATTATGGAATTTAAAGATAAATTTGTTCCGAAAAATTTAAACTTAATTTAAACTATACCGAAAATATCGGTATTTTTGGGATAAATATCGGTAAAAATACCACCGAAAAATCGGGCGGTTTACCGGTAATTCGGTATACCGGTATACCGGTATTGCGTTCCCTAGTTGCCACCTGTAGAACCGACTATTATTAAGTCATATTAGCACAATAGCTTAGAGGACTGACTACAAGTTCTAGTTGATGTTCAGAAAAAAAGTTAGTAATTTTATTATGAATTACACATGTTTTTTTATTCCTATTAAGCATGAGCTGATGCGGTGTATTATAACAATGAAACCATTATAAATTTTGGTCAGCACAGCCCCCCCGGGCTCGTTCTGCGCTTATTCTAGGCTTCGTCTGCAGCTCTATTCTGTCAACCCGTTCCACGGTCCGTCGTAAAGTATCCCGTTGTTCGCTATGAGCTACGAGGTTATATCGTGGCATCAACTCCGCCTCTTCAATAAACCTTGCGCCCTTCGCGAATCGGTAAAAGATGCGGCGCAGCTCCGAGTCGTACGCGATGGTCGCTCTGCCGTCGTCGTGCATGCTTCGCCTCGGACCGTTGCCTTATCGTTTTGTTTTACACCGAGCACAAGGAGGAGAATTTTTCACCGTGAGCACATGTGCCGAGCCGGATAGTATAAATTTCCTTTACAGTTTTATTGGCTGTTCGAATGGTGTTTTATAACAGAAGCAGTCACATTTCTTGTTCGTGCTAACAGGATGATTCGTGTATAGTTCTACTTGTATGAGTCTTTTTTGCACGAGCATTGTATTGTGCATCGTTTGTTTGTTTTCGGTATTTGATTCTACTTCTGGCACTGTTTGAATTTATCTCCTCGCCCTTGGTGCGACATTTGAATACGTGAAATGACAAACGCGCGATCTGATTCGAAATAAAAGCAATTATTATTCATTGCGCAATTATGTAACGATAGCCATTGAAAATACATATGTGAATCTATTTACCCTGCCACGTAACTCACATTTAGTTTTCTATTACGAAACAGTTATGTAACATAAAGCTTATTATAAGTATATTACGTTGAACAAACAGAGATATGAAACTATTTGTTGTAATATGATGATTTGTAGATTTTTACGAACGATTATGGTACGGTCATTATTTTATTTGGACGATCATCGGTCATGTGGAGTGTCATAGTGAAAACTTTGAACTCAATAATTCCATATCAACGTGCGGGTCATGTAATTCCCATGATACGAAAATATTTCATAGGCATTATCTGAAGATAAGTTTGATTATGTAAATATATAGGTATGCACATATTGTTCACGACCGTGATTAAACAAATTTTAGGCCATGTAAATGAAAAATAGTTTTAGTAAATGAGGTAAATTATAGTGAGGTAGAAGATACGGAATGGAAATCAACATCCACAAGTCGAAATTGATGAGAATTACGAAACAAGATACTGCACGAGAGAGATCAGGACAAGGATCGCAAGCGCCAAGGCAGCATTCACAAGGAAGAGAACGCTACTGACGACCAAACTGAGTATCGACTTGCAAAAAAGTCTAATGAAGTGGTATGTCTGGAGCCTAGCTCTGTACAGATCAGAGACATGAAGTCTAAGAAATGCCGACAAGAACTACCTCGAGAGTTTTGAAATGTGGTGCTGGAGGCGAATGGAGAAGATAAAGTGGACAGACAAGATAACAAATGAAGTCCAGAGGAGATTGGGTGAAGAAAGGACTCTACTGAACACAATCCTGAAAAGGAAAGAAAACTGGATCGAACTTGTTCTGCAAAAAGAGTGCCTACTACACGACGTAGTCAAAGGTAAAATAAAAGGACTGAAAGAAACGGGAAGAAGAAGAATGCAGATGATTGACGACTTGCGCGAAAAGAGAAAATAAAACTGAAAGCCAAAACGCAGAATCAGGAAGCATAGAAGCAGAAGTTTGAGAGAAAAAAAGTGTGAAAAAAGCGAAGGAAATAGTGGTAATGGGGAATGATAGACGATAAAAGGTGAGGGAATTATTTGTGGTGGCTTTCACACCATGGACCTGCCTTTAAGCAGACTACCATTTATAATATATATATATATATATATATATATATATATATGCCCAAGTATAAATGTTAGTATTGATCGTTCTCGAAGAGATGTGTCATTAATCTTAAGTAATGAAATTGGATGTTCTGCCAGAGTTCTTGATTAATAAATAAAGTGATTCGATATTACACCACGTAGCCTCTACGTGTACGTGCGTGTGATATGGCAACGGTCTCCAATGTTACCTCTAACGAGTCCGTGATTTAGCTCATTTAAGCACGAACACACTCCTTGATGTTCGCGATGTTCTGCGTCCGCTATCGCGCCGGCAATATCGCTAGTACGAACCAAAACGAAACGAAAGCGTCAGTTAGTTAGTTACTTTGTTAGTGGCTCATTGCTTGTTGTTGTTCCTTCTTCGAATGATCGAACGGATGGCTATGATATTAATTAGTGGGCGGGCGATTCATGCCAAAAATAGCGCCTGCACGGACGCGACACGCCCCGCTAAAACGAGTACGCGACCGAACTAATCGATCGTTTTGACCGTGTGTTCAACCGTCTTAGCTCGTATGATAATGGATATAGAATTCACCTGCATCCTGTACAGATTTACTATTTACGATTGAAAATCATTGCGTTTTTGCATCCTTAAACAAGACCTCATATTAGCTTATATTATAATTTGAAGAAAAAAAACTAGTGGTGTATGGCATCGTGCCTTAAAGCAAATTGCTGGAACTTTCCGTACCGTAATAAAATATTCAACGAATATTAAATGTTTTCAGATATATTATTATAAGTGATATTTCAAGTATATAAGTAAGCTTTAGAATTTTAATTAAATTTAAAGTCCGAATTATTCTCAATATTCAAAAAAAATTCTCGAAATATTTTTTTTGTTTTCCCCAAAAACAATGGTTTTTGGGGAAATACAAGCAAAGGTTTTTAAAATCGTTCAAATCGGATGATTCGTTCTCTCAAAAACTACCATTTTTTGCACATTGTAGGTTCATTGACTGGACCTGCCTTTGCCAAAAGCGTCTCCCCATTAGTAGGAATCGAATATTTTTTGGATATTCGACACAAAATACTTACACACATCTAATTTTTCTAAGGTAATCCAAAATGTTCAGAAACCTCTGAAACGTGAAAATACGCAAAAAAAATTTGTTCTACGGGAAGTTAAAAACATGTGATTTTAATATTTATCATAGCATTTTAATAAATGAAAATCTATGTCGTAACACCTACATCAGAGATATGTTATACGAAACTTCAATTAGGATATTTAAATAGCAGTTAATATATATAAAATCTACATTTTAGAAAATAAAATTAAACCAAATTAATTTACTTAACATGATGCAAACTTTGAACTATTTATCGATTTTTTCATATTTAAATGAATTTAAATAAGGTGAATATAATTATAAATAAAATTATTTATCATAATGAATTCTTAAGGAAATTATGACTTGCAATTACTTTTATATAAAACTAGTTATATCACGTGTCCCTACTTCTTGCGCAGGATGAGATGGCGTGATGTAGAAATTAAATTGAAAGTAATAAATTGAAAAGTAATTACGTCGCATCTACTGCAAAATAGTGATATCGAGTGTTAACACAAAGATTAACTTCGACCAATTAAAAAGCTAAATGAGCCGCTGCCTCTGTTATGGGTCACTTAATTGAATCCACAGTTGATACACAAGATTTTTATGGTAATTGAATTGAGCTGAAACAAGATATGTCACAGTGTCACGTCTAGTTGAAGGATAGAAAGATGTTCCCCATTGTCTACTATATAAGGAACAGCGTAATGTAACAGATGGACTCCCAAACCAGTTTTTTCTTCTTGAACAAGACACGAAGAAGAAATAAAGCACGTTGAAATATGTTATCTACATTTTTATTTTTCCAAGAAAGTACTCCTGTAGTCAAGCTTTTTATATTTTGTTTTCCTCTTGATTCAGTCCTCATATAGCTCGTTTAAATTGAGTTTTTATGTAAAAATACAGGTAGGCTTGTCCGCCTCAACCTGTGGACGAAGTGAAGCACATTTGTTTACATTCTTGATGTGCCAATGTTATGGACGAACCTACTATTCAGATAACTTCATTTGAGATAAATGATTCAGAGTTCAAATAAGTGATGCATTATTCATTCAAAAAGTAAAAGGGACAAGCTAATTGATGCGATTCTATGGACTGATTTTTCTTGCAGTTAGCAGTTTGTTTATGAAACGCCAAGTCCTACCACTACGTCACACTCCTGTGTATCGTTCAATGATCATAATAAATCCGTTACCCGCCCCACTTAGAAAATCCAAAAATTTAATCCGTCTTTTATCAGCAATCACCGGGTCGCATAAACTTTCCCACCCCTTAGAGGGTTGCTAACGGACCACTCCTCGCATTCATCTCCCATTTTCTCATCACAATTGTCAGATTTAGTGTACCGCAAGATCGCGATAAAAACGAGATTCAATTCTGATTCGATAGTCGATTCACCCTCGCGCAAATTCTCGGATTACTCCCTACCACGGGAAAGCTAAATAGGCCTACGGCTTAGACGTAGTGCTACGAACACGGGAACGAAAATTACATTCGAATATAAATAATGGAGGTAAAATTGAATGACATTTTCAGGATCAAAAACTACCAGCTCTAGGATAGAAAGATGCTTCCCATCTACATATAAGACATAGCGTAATGTAACACATGGGCTCCCAAACCAGTTTTTCCAAATCTAAATGTGATAAAATTTACAATAAAAATAATTTAATTTAATATATATTTTAGAGCTTTAGTATATATACAAAAATACGAATTACTTAATATTAGAACTTCAAATCAAATCAAATTCACATGATTGTTGTACTACGTACTGTGGTAATAAAAAGCTCAACGTGCAAGACAAAATCATTAGAACTGATTGTGAGTGAAATGCGTTAGGAGATATCGTATTATTTTAAGGTTTTAAATTTTTACTGCAACTATTTTTATTCTAAAACTATTTAGTATTTTACCACTAATCAACCCTGATGAAATGCGCAAACTTTTGATAAAACTTGACAACATACTGGTACATTTTTTTTAAGCTGAGTCTTTGAAAGTCGACCAATTCTGAACATTTTAGATTCATAGTTTAACAAATTGTGGTAACTCTAGAAAACTTGAGACAATTGTGTCATTATTTTTGACTGTGGTCCTTGAAATGTTATCTACGGTTACAGTTCTAAAGTTGAAATGAACAAAAATAATTAAAGTTAAGCGCAAAAACCGAAAAATTCTTACAGATTGACTGAAGTTCTGGGTTTTACGTTAAAAGCCTTCATAACTTTTGAAACTCATAACCGACAAAAGCTCAAAGTTTGTACTTTAAAAGCCTTTATAATTTTACTACATTAGATATATTGTTTTTATAATTTTTTATGATTGTCACAATCAATACTAGCTAGCACCCTGTTTGGACTTGACGTTGAGTTCTGGAACACCCTGTAAAATTGGGATGAAGAAAAATGCAGATGATTGATAACTTACGCGAGAAATGAAAATACAGAGAACTGAAAGCCAAAGCACAAGACCAGAAACCACGGAAGCAGAAGTTTAGAAAGGAGTATTGGAATAAAAAGTGATTAATGGTAATAAAATGGTAATTGGAATAATAAACAAGGGAGAAATAAAATCATTGACTTGTTGTGCCCTCATACTATGGACCTGCCTTGGGTCAGACTACTATTTATTATTATATTATGCACATAACAAGACATATTTATGTATCTATTTCCATTGAAGCATGTATGATAGAAACGATCAGTTTATACTATCCATTACAGTGATCGATGTTGTTCCACGAAAGTCTCCAAGGATCTCACATCACTAGGCGCGCGAGAATGTAGGAGATTGACAAGGAATGATTACATGTAAACGGCAAGTACCCGGTTATTTGGCCCTTAAATATTGATAAACCGAGCCCCGGCAGTGACGCGACGCAAAATCGAATTAAGCGGCGGAAAGCCTCCCCATATATAAATAAGCTGAACTACCACACACCAGCGCGTTTGGATTAACTTGGAAAACTGGGGAAGAAAGCGTATGGGATCATCAGGCACGGGTAATTAATCGGGGAATAATTATAGTAGGTAGTAGATACTTGTATCTATTAATATCTTAATGAAGAAATTTATACTTTGTATTTGACTGGAAATTAAATAATTAAATAATTTAGGAAACTATTAAAGTGATGATCAATTAAGTTTCTTGGTGACTTGGTGGAGTGGCTCAAAATAGTTGACTACTTCCAAATAAATAAACTTTGTTATTATTATCATTCTTCTGATCAAACTAATTAGTTCACGAGTTTATGGCTCGTAGTCCGCGTATTATAACATATTCACGATTCTACAAGACGCCGCGGCGCCAAGTGTTCTAATCAATTAGAATCGACCTTCTACGGACTGTTACGTCAACATTAACGTAGGTCAACGTTATAAGTTATTGATACCGACTTCTATGACAAAAATCAACGTCAAACTGTTGCTACTGATATTACATTTTAGTGTACTTATGCTATGGAACACATTTCAATAAACAAACTTATGATATGATCCGATGAACTTAAGGAACACGCGATCAGATCTCAGGATTCGATAAGCCAAATCAGCGCATCATAAAACAAATAAAAGAAAAAGACGGCCGAAGAAGTAAACGACAAAAAATTTTGGATTGACTTTTTACAACTCCATAAGCGGTTATAACACGTTGTTCATCGCTGATATATTTTTTGTAGTCTTCGCGAATCCGGAATGTGAATTTCTAAATCGCGGTGCTCTTTTAATGTTAATAAATATGATTAATCATGCATCTAATTTTTTGTAGGATTTCAATGACTAGACATTCATCAACAATGTCGTCGTCGTCTCTGCAGTAGTTGTACCAATTTTTAATAATTCAGCTACGATCTTCAACCGCGACTGTTCTCGGTAAGGACTAACATGATCAAGAATAACCAGTTTAGCTCTCAAGTCGCAAAGACGAAAGCATTTTCTTCAGTACCAACTCGTGTAAAGATGTACGTTCATGCCTGTACCCGGAGCGGTTTCTGATTTCTCGGTAATGCTCGTTAGTTCTGCTTTTGGAGACATTTAAATTCTAAACGGATGCTGACCCTTGGATGTCAACCGGAGCGTTTTTCTTCGCCGGACCGAGATGCGACACTCGATAACGTGGGACCGCTTATTATTATTCAAGCAATTAGCGTGATTTTTGTAAAATACCAGAATTGTTAGTGGACATACACTCATTGCAGATTTTGAGTGGTCACATCAGTTGAGACATCAATAGCAAAGAAGCGCCAAGAAGCACATTATACCAAAATTGTTAGTGGACACAGACTTATTGCTGATTTTGAATTGACTACTGTTAAGACACTAATAGTTATGGAAACGCCAAGAACGTTGAAATATCTATATACTATATATTTCAGTGAAGTATAACTCAATTTCAAAAGTTGCAAGTTCAAATAATTATATAGTTTATATATGCATCCGTAAACACGAAAGCTCATATTTAAAATGTCAAGCATGACTCAATTTTCTAGAGACATATATATTTCCACGTCATATGTTGAATGGATGGAATATTTTAAATATAGTATCACAATGCTAATTTCATTAGAATATTCATTAATATAATAATGAAATTTCTTTAGATACATTAGGTTTTACATAATATTACCGCTCGTTTCGGTAGAGTGAGTACTATATGCGGAGAGTTGTATTTTGTTGTATCTTCGTTTTTTTAATGATTATTCAAATCAGTTAAATGTAACAGTTCGGTATTTAAAATATATGTATAGTTTTATATTAAAAATGTGACGATTGCCTTCCAGTTGAATGAATACAATATAAAAATCAAGGTAAAAACTAAAACCCACAAAGTGATTTATTATAAAATAAATTTTTATAAAAATAAATGATATAAACTCACCAGTCTTCGTTTGGGTTTGATTAGTGGCCTATTCTGTCCATTCATCTTATAGTAAAGTCCGCAGGCATTGCAGAGGTAATGTCCTGTGCCATCTCGTCGCCAAAGAGGCGTTGAGGTTGCTCCACAATTCACGCACTCACGACCCTCTGTAAAATATTAAAAATAACTCCCATTGGTCCAATAATCACCTACTAAATTTTAAATAATATTCTAAGTCACATTTATGGGCCGACTATACTATAGACCAATGTCATGGCAAGACTATGTTGCGTAGCAGTTTTCATACAAAATGGTACTAAATACTGTCAAAAAGCTAAGTATTTGGACAACTTCACTCATATGTTATTAAACCGTATCACAAAAATCCAGTTATAATAACATTGTTTTTTGATATTTGTGCGTTTTCTAGGTTCTGTTTTCTATCTAAAACGCCTGACTGCACAGCAACCACATGACTTTTGACAAAATTTAGTACGATTTTGTGTAAAAACTGCTACATAACATTGGTCTATTTTACCTCAAAATCAACTCCTTAGTTTCAATCAATTAATCTTAAATTTTTCTTTAAGAAACTTTAAATGAAATTTGATAAATTAATCATCAATCTGTTTCATGACAAATATATATGAGTATTCAAATTTGAATTATTAAAAAGAAGTATAAAATTGATTGATATTATTTTAATCTTAACTTTAATATAATAGTATTTTCAAGCACCATGCAATATCAAATTAATCTACGACATTTTTAATAACCAAGCAAAGTAATAACTACATGCACTAATCATAAACGCACTGAATACAGTACATTCAGAGATCTGTTATTGAAAATAGAATAGCATTCAGCCAGCGCTACTACGTTTTAAATTTAATTGGACTCTTCCAAAATCCCACAAATTACAGAGATAATTAAATCAGTTTTCGATGCAGCAAATGCATTTTTTTCGATTTGAATCGTATTCAAAAAATGTCCTCTCGCTGCGTCCCATCGGTTAGCGATTCCACGAATTGCTCCCATACAAGAATTCTTCTTGCTGAAGAATTAATTCATCCGACTCGCTCGCACGCACTCCGCACTCCGACATCTCTTATGAAAATCATCTTACATCAAAATAATTCTAAAACATTAATTACCTAATTAATAACAGTCGTAAACATATCAAAGTTATTACAGCGTCATGCGGGTATCGCGTTGAACCGTAATGGAAAAAATTGGAAAACAAATAATAATAAACAAACACAAAAAGCATGCATTTAAACATTTTTTTCTTGTATATTATGCATGAATCTAAATAAATATCGGACGCAAAGCGATGTTAATAAGTCGAGTTTTAATCGCCACCATGGTCTGGTCGAGTGTAGACCCAGTAGCCGAGGCGATGCATCGTTCCCTGTCATTAAATCGTGGACTTAATGTGTGGATGGTGAATGTTATTAATTATATGTACATTTCTACTGATTTCTCAGCGTTTCATTTATTAAGTGGCTCCAATATGATCTAGCAACTTGCTCTGGGTAGTTAACTTAATTATAATAATTCTCAACTCTAAGTAGCCAACTATGTAACCATAGTTATTAGAGCTATTTCAGACCAGAAAAAAAGAAATCTTGGTAAACGAAAAAAAATGAACCTATGTCGAGGTTAATAAAGTCTTTTTTTTTTTAAAAAAAAATGCGTAAAAATTGACATGGATAGCATACAGTTATTGAGGGTGGACACTAAGTAACTTAGCAATTTATTTAAAAAAAAATGAATTTCATTAAAATGTATTTTTCCCAAAGGTATGTAAAATTGAGATGGTTAACTTACGATTAGGGAGTGTGGATCGTTTTATTGTATTTGAAAAAACATGTTACTAAATTATTTTTAAAATTTTCGAGATTTTCTGATGTCGAAAAATTGATTTTCCTTCAACAAGGTACCACCAAGTACCCAAAGTTCTATTTGAACTCATTGTTTTAATTTTGAAAGACAGTTATAAATGTATGCAAAATAAAAAAAAACAGTGATTCATTTTATTGCAAAGTTAAAAAAATATCTTCCGGATCTCTTAGTTCAACAAGATATCACCAAGTGACCAAATTCTGATTAAACTCTGTTTGATTTGTTGATTGATTTGTTTTCATAAACGTGTGCAAAAATTGAAGTATTATGTATTAAGTTTAAAATATTAATGCAAAATAGAATTTCACTTCGTGAAAAAATTAGATAAAATATCATTTATCGTGATAGATTTCGAGAACTAGCATAGATCTCTTCCTCCGGCCATACCACCAAAAATTCTGATTGAATTCTGTTAGAATTAAACTGTTTTTATAAACGTGTGCAAAAATTGAAGTATTCTGTATTAAGTTTGAAATATTTATGCAAAAAACAGTGATTCACTTTGCAACAAAATTGCAAAAATTATCTTTAATCGTTACTGATTTCAAAAACTAGCACAGATTTCTTCCTCCGACAAGATATTTACCAAGTATCACAAATTCTGATTGAATTCTGTTTGAATTGAACTGTTTTCACAAACGTGTGCAGGAGTTGAATATACTGTATTCAGTTTTAAATATTTATGAAAAAATAGTAAAAAACTCTATAACAAAATTGCAAAAAATATCTTTAAACGTTACAAATTTCGGAAACTAGCACATGCCTTTTCCTCCGACAAGATACCACCAAAAATTCAGATTGAACTCTGTTTGAATTGAACTGTTTTCACAAACGTGTGCAAAAATTGAAGTATTCTATATTTAGCTTGAAATATTCATGCAAAAAACAGTGATTCACTTTCTAACAAAATTGCAAAAAATATCTTTAATCGTTACTGATTTTGGAAACTAGCACAGATCTTTTCCTCCGGTAAGATATCACCAAAAATTCTGATTGAACTCTGTTAGAATTAAACTGTTTTTATAAACGTGTGCAAAAATTGAAGTATTTTGTATTTAATTTGAAATATTCATGCACAAAACAGTGATTCACTTTGTAACAAAATTGCAAAAAGTATCTTTAATAGTTACTGATTTCGAGAACTAGCACAGATCTTCTCCTTCATCAAGATACTACCAAGTACCAAAAATTCTGATTGAAACCAGTTTGAATTGAAGTGTGCAAAAATTAAAATATTTACCACTAAATTCAAAATATCCTTGAAAACAGTGATTGCAAAAAAGTATCTTTTACCATAGATCTCTTCCTCCACCAAGATACCACCAAAGATCAAAAATCCAGATTGAACCCATGCGAAGGTTTTATTGTTGTCCATTTGTCAATCGTGTTTTTGTGTGTTTTTGTTCGTTGGCAGTTTTTAGAAACATTCGTATAGAGTTACACGAGCATCGCTCCAGGTTCTGTATTGGAGAGAAAGAGACCTTGTGAGAAAAAGATCGGACGCGTCACCTGTTCGCCGGTACGGTAGCCCAACGTCCGCTGACAATTCCAATAAATCTACTGTTTTAATGCAACTGTTTAAATAATACGCATGATTATATTTTTCTTAGCTTTGAGACGAAGCTACGTCGGCAGGCATATGAGCGCGTTGACGTACGACCAAGGACCGGCATTATGTACGGCCGATTGCATGATAAAGAAATCAGAAATAATTATGTTTTGCGTTTTCGTGCTAATATGTTTTCACTGAAAGGGATTGAAGTCAATGTAGAAAATTTGCATTTTGAGACATTGGGTACTAATCCAGATAACTGATAATTTTCTAGCATGAGCTGGTGTGCTATTTGCCATCTTGTTGCAAACTACAAAAAGGTTAACAAAAACTTTCAATTTAAATTTGTATTTAAAATTGCAACCTGTGGAAGTAACAAAGGTTACTTTCATAAACAATCACAATCAATTACAGCCCTTTCATCAATTAGCATAGTCCATAATATTTACTAAATGCCCATACGGACAGTAGTAAATCTTTTATGTATAATAAAAAAAAATTGAAAATTAAGGATATTTCAAGTCTATATAGAATATTATGCAAAAGTCTATATAAATCTATTAGTCCCATTTATTAATATATTGGAACAACATTGATAAAAAACAATGCCAGGTATAAGAATAGATAACTGGATTTGTCTATTTGCTTGTATTATATGTAGTACAAATGGCTAAATTGAGTTAATTGTGCTTAATATATTTTACAGAAAAACGTTTTGTGTTAGTCGTTATTATGATTATGAGTACTGATTGTCCTTATATTTGAAAAAAAAATCGAAGTTTTAACTTTTACCCAAAATAAATTTTTTATTAATGATTTGATGTATAATAAGTAGTACAACTTGGTAAATGAGTTGACTACTGCAAGTATATTAGTGAGTACATTTTTGTCTTAATAGTGCAAATTAGAGTCTTTTTTTAAAAAAATCCACGTCTCAACTTATGAACTTTCATGCTAAACCAAATTTTTGCTAACATATTCTCTTTATCAATGTATTTTAAATTTTCACAATAAGATTGGAGATTATTATAAGTAGAGTGGAGAGCATTATAAGTAGTATAACTGGCTAATATGAGTTAATTTTTGTAAAGATATTTTGCTTAAAAAAAGTCTTGTTTGACAGTGAATTTTGTAATTAGCTTCTTTCTTTATAAAAAAACACAGTTTCATTTTATGAACTTTTATGCTGACCAAATATTTGAATATTTGCAAACCCATATCCCTATTTATCGACATATTTTTAATTTTCTCAATACAATTTGGTAAATAATAAATAGTAAAACTTGCTAATATGAGTTAATTACTGTAAACATATCTTGCTGAAGTAGTTTTGTTCTAATAGTCGGTATAATCTTGTAATTATAGTCTTATTTTGTAAAAAAAAAATTGTATCGACTTATGAATTTTTACCCAAAACAAAATTTTTGGTAATACATTTTACTCATTAACCTATTTTAAATTTTTGAAAAAAGTGTATCTTTTGATGAAGTTTTCGATTTTATGGTTTACTGGTAAAATTAGTATGACGTGATCTTTAAAAAACCTATCTTTAAAAACGCATATTAAATTTTAAAAAAGTATTATTTATCTACAGGTTGTAATAGCTAAAAACGTGGGCTAGCACAAACTAATCGCGAGTTAGATTCCAACTACGGTCAGCTCGATATCAAGCGGTATGATATCAAATTTCCACTTGAGGTTATAGATATC